AATAAGAATGGAGACTATTTCATTTAATAAATGTTTTGTTTTGATATACAAGTTGTTAGAGTTTTTTCATCAAAAAAAAAAGCGACATTCATTTCTTGAAGACCTAATATTTTTACATTTGTTAATAATTTCTTTTGTGAACCAAAAAAAAATCAGTTATATACTTTTATTTCTACATGATTTTGACATAAAAGAACAACAAAGTATGCAAAGAAAGCATGGGGAAGTATTGCTTCGTAAAGTTTGAGAGTTTTATCAGCTCTGAGCCAACTGTATAACTTTCTTAAGTTTTAAAGTATTTTTTAATTTAATGAAAGCAATATCCAATAGGTTTTTCAAAATTGTAGAAAAATTGATGGTCTATCCCTCAGTTATGCCATAAAATCAAAGTATTAATTAACATTTCAGAATGTCGTGCAAGCTGCTCACAAATAAATTATAAGACACTAAAACCAAATTGAATCTAAACATGATGTGGTGTTCCACTGTGTAATTACTTGTGATATTAAAAACAGGAAGCTTTTACTTAACATTAAAATATTTTGAAAAGCAAAATAAGCACTTATAAATACTGTATATTGATATATAACAAAAGTGTTAGGTGATAGTTCTGTAAGTTTTTTGTTTTCTCAGAACAAACTAGGAGACACCCCACTTCATTCAGCATCTTGGAGAGGTAGTGATAATATTGTTAGACTTCTGCTTGATAATGGTGAGTTTTTAGTAGTATTAAATTATGACTTCATTTTAATTCTTAATCTAACTTGCATTTGAGTACTGATAATCTAAATAATCATAATTCAGTTGATCATAACATAAGTAATGTAGAAATGTTTCATTAGTGAGGTCTTCGTTTATTGAAGTAGTTGCAATTTACTGTTGATTATGGGTTTGAATACTTGTATGCTTTAATTGGGATCATAAATTTTGGTAACTTTAAATCTTTCTTAGATCAACATATATATATTGATTAATATATGTTCTTGACAAAAACCTAATTGTTATTCTGTACATCTCAATGAACTTCATCTTTAAAATAATAATTCATATTTGAGTTCTTATTTACAGACTGTGTTGTTAGTTGTGCATCAAAGTACAAGCACTGTTCCTGATTTTCAACATTGGTCATGTCTTACTCAAGAATTACTGTATCATACATTACTCTAAAGCTTTTTTCTGGAAGTAAATTATAATTTAAGGATATAAAAATGTATAATACAAGTATGTTTTCACACACAAAAAGGATATAAGAGTGTATAAGACATGCTGACTAACACACACAAGAAGAGGATGTAAGAGTGTATATAGCAAGGTAGTTTTCACACATAAGATGAGGATATAAGTGTATACAGCAAGTGAGTATGGTTGTTGCACACAAGGTGGCAGTACACACTGTTTTCAATCTAGCAATGTTGTTACTAGATCTTGCAGCTTTAGCTTTGGAATCTCCCGAACAATAAAAATTTGTCAAAGCAAATAATGATTTTCACTGCCATTTCCAGTTATGTTCGTGGAAAGAAATCACCAATTTGTATAATCACAAAGTCACTCATCAGCAGCTTAATAGTAGTAACACACCAGCAGCTCAATAGTAGTAACACACCAGCAGCTCAATAGTAGTAACACAAAACGTTTTCAATTTGTATAATCACAAAGTCACTCATCAGCAGCTTAATAGTAGTAACACACCAGCAGCTCAATAGTAGTAACACAAAACGTTTTCAATTTGTATAGTCACAAAGTCACTCATCAGCAGCTTAATAGTAGTAACACACCAGCAGCTCAATAGTAGTAACACAAAACGTTTTCAATTTGTATAGTCACTAGGTCACTCACCAGCAGCTCAATAGTAGTAACACAAAACGTTTTCAATTTGTATAGTCACAAGGTCACTCATCAGCAGCTCAATAGTAGTAACACAAAACGTTTTCAATTTGTATAGTCACTAGGTCACTCACCAGCAGCTCAATAGTAGTAACACAAAACGTTTTCAGTGTTTAGTGATTTGATGAATATAGAAATTCTATAAATTATCATTTTAGAAATCTCCCCATTGTATAACAAAAATTATATATATATATA